AAATGTAACGAATATAGCGGTTTCAACGAGTATTTTTTTGTTAATTTTTGTGAATATTAAGGAATTTGTTGTATCCCCGGGAGAGATCGCGTTATTATTCATTGTTCAATTGAAAGCTTAGAAATTTGGCTAATATAGTGTGAAAAGATTGCCCACAGAAAATCGCAGATAAGCGCTATTTCTTTACTTAGAAAATGTGTTAAGGAAAAATCTTAAAACGCAACTAGTATATAGTAACACTACTTTAGATCTATTTTAACACTAAAATTAAACTTTTTAGATGAATTTGTGGCCGCTGAACTAGAATTTAATTTAAAACATAAATAGTTTTCGAGATATTAGCAAAAGTCATGTTTTCTGGGACCTTTCGGTCCTGTTGCTAGAAATCTGCCGGAATGTAGGGCGAACCCAACTATGTCATATATGTATTTCGGAACAGTGTACGAAAATAAACTATATTGTACGTTACTATTTCGTTTCGTTTATTACTTCAACAGTTCGGTACAATACGAAAACAAAACGGCTGAGTTCACTTTGGCGATAGTACACTACAGTAGTTTAGTAGTTACAGACGAAACAACATACGAAATGAATCGTGCAGAGAAAAATATATGTATGTATGTACATTAGACTGCATCACTCCCCATACAAAAAAAAATCGGTGCTATTTTTCCACAGGAATTATAAAATCTATTAAATTTTAAGACGTCCACCAAAATATTTCGGGATAATATTAAGATTTAAGTGAGCTGGACCGATTTGAAAATACCTCCAAAAATGGAGTTTTTTATGAATAAAAATAGTTTCTTAAAGATTTTTTTTTTTAAATCCCCTTAAATGACAAAACGGTTTAAGCTTAAAATATTTGCATAAAAATATTAAAAAAAAATTAAAAAAAAATTTTGAACGGAATCGTAATGATGAGATTTTTGATGCTGTTTTTTAACTTTTTTCAAAGATGGGTATAGGAAAAACTTGAATAACTGAACCTAAACTCTTCCGATTTAGACTTAAGAGGGGTCATTGGAAAGGTATTTTCTCACCCTTATTATCTCTTTGCTAATAAACTCATTTAAAGGATGGAAGAGAAAGGTAGTATGAACGAACGTCATTCAAAGTTGAATTAAGATGTGTTGGTATTCGAAAAAACAAGATGGGACACGAATGACGTTTTTTGGCCAGAAATAAAAACAGTGTGAAAATACCTTTCTACTAAGATCCCATAAGTCTAAATCAGAACATTTTTGACCCAGTTATTCAAGTTTTTCGTAAACCAATCTTTGAAAAAAGTAAAAAAACAGCATCAAAAATCTCATTCTTACTATTCCGTTGAAAACATTTTCAAATATTTTTATGCAGATTTTTTAAGCTTAATCTAATTTGTCATCTGAGGGGACTTTTTCAAAAAGTTCTTTAAGAAACTATTTTTATTCATAAAAAACTTCATTTTTGGAGGTATTTTCAAATCAGTCCAGCTCGCTTAAATCTTAATATTTTTCCGAAATATTTCGGTGGACGTCTTAAAATATAATAAATTTTGTAATCCCGGCGGAAAAAACGCAACTTTTTTTGGTGATGCAGTCTAATGTACATATATGCAATATCTAAACAAAAAACTAATGGCTGCAATGATTAAAAAACAAATAAAAATGTTTTTTAATTGAATTGGATTGTAATTGAAACGTTCGCATACATATGAAACCCCTATGTACCCTATGGTACAATTGTCACAAACGAAAAGCAAACGTTTCTCGTTGGGGAAAATGACAGTGAATCTTACAATTTATTTCTGACTATGTACAAAACTGTATAAAACCACAAATGATATGATGATCGATGAGCAAATGGGAATTGTTTTGTACAGTTTATTTTCGTAACCTGTTTCGGAATAAACGTTTGTTTTCATTTACATTGGTGTTATATAAGTGATGATTAAAGAAATAGTTTTGGGTATACAAGCGTTTAAATTTAGATAAATGTCATTTTAGATAAATCTACGATATTTTAGTAAATATTGTATCCAAATTGTTAAAAATCAGTATATAAAGTAAAATTTTGGAACAAAATAGGGTTATTATTAAATTTTTAGAAAATGTGTGTGGCCCCGCACACTTAAGATGTAATGCTATATCTCAGTATCCGCTTCACTAATTCATACAAAACTCGGTATGAGCCTTGCTTAGGCTATATCTAACATAACTGCTTAAAATTCTTGATATCAGGCGATAACCACGTCCACTTCCCATATAATGGTAATTTATAGAAACGCGAAAACTGCCATAAATCAATAATAACTGAAGCTAATTCACTCAAAATCGATACTTGAAATAACCCCTTAGCATTAAATAAATGGGCGTGGCGCCGCGCACGTTTGACTACAAATGTATTTTTCAGTAACCGATTTATCAATTTGTACCAAACTCGTTGCACTTAATAACCTTGGTATGGAAAAGCAATTCGTTGAAAAAACGAACACTCCGATATTTAAGTAATTGAGGACGCTAATTTACTCTAAGTTAATACTTACAAAATTCTCTTAATAATAAATAAGACTGTTATTATTACAAAAATGTAGTCTTATTACATTGGTAATAATTACCGCAATATTGCAGACATGTTGCTGATACTCAACTGAAACTTTTCTAAAATGTAACAGAAATTTCGCAGTAAAAATTTGTATATTGCTTTTGATTTGCCAATGATTGTCAATTGATTTGTTCGCCCTAATTTTTGCGTAGAACGTGATACTCTTTCATAAAAAAAGGAACACCGCCGCATTAATTGCACCTCGAATACACCCATTTCTTACCTATACTGTAATATATATTTGAATTATTAATTACTTTAATTAAAGTTCAATTTGATTTTTTAAACCCTGGGAGGTTCCTTAAGAGACAAAGCCTTTTCAAACCCATTTCAATTGATACCCATATTGCAGCAATTCATTGAACTAATTGAACAAAACGTTTTAACAGGAGGCAACTCTGTTAATATTTTAACGTATATTTACTTGATTTTAAGCATTTACAATTCTACATGGGCATTCCCATGGTGGCGCACGTGACAGTCGTACGATTTCAATGTGATACAAAAAAAGGAATACCATTTGTTTTCTTTAACTTTTTTGGGCCATTGTATAGCACGTAATTAGCTCTATATTTAACCGAAAAATTAAATCAATCGAACTGCTTGGTCCTGAAATATAAGCAATTAAAGAGAGGTTCGTTACGTGACAAAAAACTCTGCGAATTGTGGATGGCTATTTTGATGAAACTTATTTTGATATGATTTGGAGCAATTCTAGTAGTTTTTAGAGTTTTTTGAACTAATGCAAATTGTTTCAATTCTCTTATACAACCCCCAAGTGTGAAACGTGACGTGACGTGACGTGACGTGGCGTGACGTGACATATGTAAATTTCCATCGTTATATTTTTGTTAATATTGCTTTTAAATGAATTTTCAACGCAAATAAAACATGTATTTTATGTAGAATATACTTTATATTTTGACTTCAGCGCCAATTCAGGGTAAATTTATTGGAAATCTATGATTTATTATGTTTCAACCACATACGCCAAATTCGAACCAAATCGGACCATAAATACGGTTTTTCGAAATATCTCGACCTTGGCACCACCTAGGAAGACCATTTTATGCAACTTCTAAGATACTTCGCCGACCTAAGCGGGGTTAGATCGCCGAAACAACAGCCCTTGGTCGGGTGAAACCCGAGTCATTCCGGTACCTAGAACCGGCTGTCGTGGGAATGAATAACCCCAAAATACTCGGAGTAACATTCGACAGCCTGCTCTCCTTCTCTGGTCCTCAAGTCGCTAGCCGGCAGTACTTGGGGCAAAGACAAAGAAACGTTGCTGGCAACATACAAGGCAATAGGCCGGCCGGTCTTGAACTACGCAGCGCCAGTGTGGTCGCCAGGGACTAGTAGGACGCAGTGGACGAAGCTACGGACGGTACAAAATACAGCACTTAGGACAGCGACGGGATGCCTCTTGATGTCGCCTGAACACCACCTGCACGGCGAGGCGCAAATGCCCCCTGTAAGGGAGCATAATATAATGCTCTGCAAGCAGTTCCTGATCGGGAGCCACAGAAGTGGCCACCCAAGCAGACAGCTGCTTGCAGAGGAGCCCTCGCCTAGGCACGTCAGGAGGCATCTATATGAACTGACGGACGAAGTCCAGAGGTTCCTTAAGCAACCTCTGGACCCGACAGCTTACAGACAGGCCCTGAACGGCATTCACAGGGACTCAGTCTCGAGTTATGTAGACTCTAGACCTGTGAATGCCGTTCTAGGCATACCACCGCCGGACATCGACGAGACGGAGCTTCATCTGCAGCAGGTTGAACTCCTACTTGAGTAGGTTGAATCAGGATGTGCCGAATGAATGTCCGGCATGCGGAGAGACCCCACACGACTCGAAACATCTCTTCGCATGCCTGGAAAACCCGACAACCCTAACGGCCTTGTCCCTGTGGACAAACCCCACAGAAGCTGCACGCTTCCTAGGGTTGCCGTTAGTGGAACTTGACGACAACGACTGAGATACCAACCGATCTGGGCGGGGTTGTTGTAGCCGCTACAACAACAACAACAACAACCATTTTATGCAAACATGATTCTACTTACATAGCCAGTATATATTTTAAAAAGCAGACAAATCGGCCCGTAAATACGTTAGATATAAAACTTTTATTTTTTTTTTTTTTTGTCGTGGTGGACCTTCCGGTGGAAACACCCATATGTCAAAACACGTCTTTTCTAAACATTTCGAGTTGAAATATTCATAAAAATAATGTTGGCCATATAAATCGGCTAAATACCCCTATGTGCGCCGTTATCTGACTTTGTTGTTCATTGCAAGCACTTGCGGTTAATAGCTTTACAAACAAGTGAGAATGTAAATGCCATTCATATCTAAATATATCATTAAGGATGTCCATAAAACAGCACCCTTATAAGAATAAATACGTTAGGCAGTTTATCAGTTTTCACATTTATCGTATTAAAATTTCAAGTTACAAATAAATTTTGCAAATCCAAATGTATCTTTATTTTGTATAAAATTTATGTTAGTAGCATATATATTTTTTATTTACCTACAGTGGTTTGTTAGTACAAACATATGTATATATCCATTACAAATTGTTTAGTTACCCAAATCGAGCTACAAGGCACACGGTCTCATACCGACATTATTTGATTAGAGTTTCGTATAGGACGGATACGAAGCAGCCGACGCCGAGAGAAGCTTCTGCCTTTGATGAAAAGTTTTTGCTTGGAGCGTTTTGAAGTGAGTATGTATTGCCAGCCAGATGTAAACCTCAAATGCTGAAAAATTAAAAGTAGTGGCTATTAAGTGTAATATGTTCATTTCAATGTGAACCACGGAAAACGTAAGCATTTCTCGTGTTAAGCTTCTGCTTAGATTTTTTAATTCTCTCTTGAATAAAAACAAAACGCAAACAAGAAAAATAATCGGTACCGCAAAAAATATTTTATATATAAAGACAAAAAGTTTCGTTAACCCTAGGAACGTTATCTATTTGGTAGTTACATAATTCCTTACTTAGCTCTGCTCTATTTTTTTTAAACGTTTAGGATATAAAATAATAATAAAATATAAGAGCTCACGATTTGTAGAATTTTAGGTGTAAAGTGGCTTCGTAGCAATCTAGTACGCATTTTGTTTTTGAAAAAGCCATAGAGCGTGTGCTACGTAGCAACTTTACCCCTAAAATTCTACAAATCGTGAACTCCCAAATAGTTCTATTAATAAAAGCTACAATCAAATTTATATATATATATATACATGTGGTCGTTGTGTTTCTCTCGTACTTTTTATCAAACTCATGCGCGTATGGCTAACTGGCCGTCTCCACAGGATAAAATTTATTGCTGTCCAGTTGTCATTATGGTAGCTAGATATAAGTTATATCAGTGGCAATATTTGTGTGGACTTGTTATATCTTGATATAAGCGTTCTTAAACCTTTTTTGCCGAATATAATCGCTTAAACAATTTAGAAAATAGGTTATTTTACATCCTGTGGGGACGAGCAGTTACTTATGGTTTACACTGGAAAATACTGCCATGACAATAGCAATACATGCACACTTTTTTACTCGTACATACTTTTCCATGCATGCGTTTTTGACAACTACTACGTATATCTTCATTGTCTTGACAGCATTGTCCAATGTAAACCCTAAGTAAATAAACGTCTTAATTTCAAGCGACCCTAGTGTGCACGTAGTACTTAAATCAGTTATACATAATACATAGATAGACTATGTAAATACGTATACACATAGGAAAATAAAAATCTTGAATTTCTTCACATCTATGTATTAGTCTTGTTTTGCGTTTTGTATATTCGCATTAACTTTTGATGATAATAATGTTTTTAGGAATGCTCAGTTTTTTCGTTCACTGATTATTTGAATAACTTGCCCAAAATAAGAGTAGCGAAGAGCATCATAGCTAATCCAGATAGGAGTGCAACCTCTATTACTCTGGCTACCATTAATGCGTTGTATATAAAACTAAAAATAATTGATATGGCAGAATTCACCAGCCACGGCAAGAGTAAGAGATGTCGTTCCTGGAATTGGGCATAAATTAATTTAAAAAAATTACATTTGTACATAATTCATACACATGCAAATCATTTGTAATTAAATATTAGAAAAAATGTATGTTTTATATGTTATTTAAAATATCTACGAATATTAATAAATATGTAATTTACAGTATGTGTATGCAAAACCACAACATACATACATATGTGCAATGTAAACAATGGATTTTACTCATAGTTATTAATGGAGCTTTTTTTAACGAATTCGTAGTAATTTTAAATGAATGAATGTGTGAGAGCATCTTGGCCTTGTGGAAGATTGCTTTTCCAAACGAAAAAACTCAATTTTTTCTTTCAATTGTATCATAACATTTGGCATAAGATGTTAACTTACCTTCAATGTGCCCAAGATTAAGCAAAAGGATGCTATTAAGTTCACGGAACATAACACAATATTTATGGTACTTGCTATTATCAAATCTGTAAATACAAGAAAATGAGATAAGAATTAGGTATGTATATATGTGCATTTGCAAGATACAAATAGAATCGTGGTACATATGTACATATGAATATGAACAAAAGATTTACAGAATATTTAAGATGCATTACTTTATTCATTCAGTTGTTTGCCCATCCATATAATACATACTTATACGACTTACGGGTCTTAATTTCAACAGGATCTTGGGTACTGGCCCCCCCTTCTTCCGGTGCTAATGAGATAAACCATTTGGCAATCTGTTCCGCAAAGCCAATAGATAAGGCCGATATTGTCATTCCTGTCAGAGAAATCACGACTCCCAGCCATCCTACTATCATGGTGACTGTATCCAATTGGAAACATAGCACTTTTCTGACCATTTTTAATACGAAGTTAATTCGAAAACAGATACTTTAGCAATGATTTAATTTATACTCGAATTGTATTTAAGAAACACTCTGTTCGGCAGGTTTCAGTTGTAGAATGTTGACTTGTCGGCTCCCGAAAGTGAAATAAAACTATTTTTTAGAAATTTTCCTGTCCCGGTCACAGAAAAAGAATTACAAAATTGAATACAGCAAATATAACAAAGGCAGTAAGTGATAAGCGGGCGAATAGGAATATTGATAAAATCGATATATCGATATTATCTTCTCTTGGCAATCGTTTACCTCACATCTCCACCTACAGATTCTATTAAAAAGCTGTATTAACCCTAGAATGGTAAACATCGCGTGAGAGAGCAACATTTTTTTGTTTTTTACGATATCTCCAGATCGTTCTTTCAAATTAAAGCGTGCCAGTTCGTGCCAACTCAGTTAAGCTCGCTATACAGTTCAATGCGAGCGTGAAAGTGAGCTGCCATATTGAAAAATAAAGGATTGTTTTTGTCGCGGTTATCCTTATCATGAACGAAAGACACAAGATCACGTAGGAACAAGAGAGTGAAAAAAGTCGATTTTTTTAGCGGGTTCTACGCCATCTTGTTTCACTGGAAAACGAGCGAAAAGTAAACAAAGCAAAGAAAACAACGGAAACCAAAATTAGCCAAAATTATTGTCAGCCACTTTAAACGCACAAAAAAATAAAAAATAAAATAATAAATAAAATGATGCAACAAAATGCTTTAAAATGTGTTGTCATGTTGAATTACCTCTTCTTTACTTGAATAAAAGTGTAAAATAGTGGTGCTTGTGATGTAAACAAACGCTCAGCTGACGAACCCGCTTTCGCAAACTTTTTTCTCAAAACCAGTTACAA